CTTGATGGGATGGGCAGATGAGAAAAATTAGATCACTTTTAAAGTGGAGAAGCCATGTTTCCTTTCCACATCAGTCCTATAGAATGAATTTTTTATTTTATTGCATGCAAATTATGAGGTAAATCGGATAACTTTCTTATTAATCATAGATTTAGCAACCATTGCTTAATCTAATTCTGGATTTATGTCATGACTTGAGTAGGACTTTTCTCTCTTATTCATCCTGGATGTTAAAAGCAATTTTTATTTAGATGAAAATCATTACCTAAAGACTATGAGATAATTCTAGATGCCTGGTGACAACTTCTTAGATGAAAATTTCTCATTTTTCTTTTCAAGTTTTCTGCTATTCCTTCTCTTTTTTTTTTTAATTTTTTTTCAACGTTTATTTATTTTTGAGACAGAGAGAGACAGAGCATGAACAGGGGAGGGGCAGAGAGAGAGGGAGACACAGAATCGGAAACAGGCTCCAGGCTCTGAGCCATCAGCCCAGAGCCTGACGCGGGGCTCGAACTCACAGACCGTGAGATCGTGACCTGGCTGAAGTCGGATGCTTAACCGACTGTGCCACCCAGGCGCCCCTCTGCTATTCCTTCTCTATAGATTAACAAATAGTAATTATAGAGCATGATGTTAACAGTTGGTAAAAACCTGTGGCTGTTTTTCTAATAGAATATTTCTCTTTAGGTGATTAATCTGCTTCAAGAAGTTCTGTTCCATTGTGTATTTAGATGTCATGATTTATTATGTTCTTTTTTTCCATGAAGTACCTTTAATAAACAATCCTAAATGAAACAACTGGGAACTTTGCAAAAGAAACAAGTTTTAAAAACTGAGGTATTAAGTGTTTTATTCCACAAGGGATGCATGGCTAACCTTTTTTTTTGAGGTCAATGTAAATGAGATCAATCACAAAAGTAATAAGTATCCTTTGGAAACAGATTCATGCACTGGGGTAGTCCAAAAGTGGCACCTTTAAAAATCCTGCATTTCTCATATCTCATAAAGTTGATCATTATTAAAGAGTTCAAGAATTGCTTTTTTGGAATCCAGATTACAGACACTGAAATTTTAAGCAGTGAGTTTGTGGGCACAAAAGCAGCCAGATATTTAGTTATCGTGATGATTAACTGCATCTTGTTTTGTCATCTGGATCCCTGTCATTGTGTAGACAGAGACATAAACAGTGGTTTCTTGACATTGATTATACTATGAATAATTTCCACGCTTATTAAAATGGCTTAAGGTTTTTTTTAAAGAATGAGTCACATCAAGAGACTGACAAGTTGCTTTTTAATTTATTATTTTTGCATCTCTCTCCAAGTTGGCTCTACATATAGAATGCATTGTATTATTTTTAAAATTAATGTGATTGGCTGCTATTTTACATTCTTACAGCCAATTTGTGTTGACTTGGCTCTTTTGATGAGATCATCGTGATTATAAATCTAAGGTTGTGCTTTTGATCTTTATAAAGAAGTTTGCTTACTTCCATCCTGGGAACACAGATGGCACTCACATTCTCTGTACGCTTATTTTATAAATTCGTGTCTTTGATCTTATGGGAAGACACTGTTAATTCCTTATCTTTAGTAAAGCTCCACCAATTAAGAGTATCCTAACGTCAGATAAGAACTATATTTTTAATAAAATATAGTAGCCTGATGAGTGGAAATATGCTAACTAGTTACTAATTTTCATTGGGTGTCATGTCTAAAATTAATGGTTTAAATTTCTAAGATATATTGTAGGTCTAAGTTCTCTAGTAAAATGATTTCAAATAAAATTTTATTGCAAAACTATTTTGGTATGAGTAGCACATTAAAATCTCACAATTGCATTTTGTATTTGGGTGTGAGAAGAACAGTAAATCCTAATACTAAAATACTATGAAAAATGCAATGTTGTTTTCCAAAATATCTAATAATTCAAACTATGACATAATGATATAGTAGGAAGTGGGAAGCCTAACTTGCCAGGCTTAATATATTATAGTACTTACCGAAGGCCTCTTTTATTTTTAGTGTTCATTGTTTATAAATCCCTATTTGTTTAAGGAGATCAGGTATAGACCATCCACTAATCTTATTATAAAATTATTTTATTCATCAAAATACTCTGTATAATGGTGAATTCCTAAATACATTGTATGTGTTAGTGGAATCTACACATATGTGAGTTTATTAATATTATTAGAGTTTATCCTGTTTTGATTTTTACTTTGCAAAATGGATCACTTGCAGTTAAGTATTATCTTTTGGATTTTCTTAGGCTTTTTTGTACAATGCCAGATCAAAGAATTGAGATGACTGGGTAGAAAAGTTGTGTGTTCTTACAGAAAAATTGTGCATTCTTACAGAAAGTTGTGTGTTCTTACATGTTGTGTGTGTGTGTGTGCATGTTTGAGAGAGAGATGAGGTCTACATATCTTAATTTGATTACCAGTAAATTTTTTTGTGATTTACTTGAATATTTTGAAAAACTGGACTTTGATAGCAAAATCATCAGCAAGGTGAGACAAGTAGCTTCTTAGGTTTTTCTTCAATCACCCAGAAAAGAAGCATCTTACATGGTATATCAAGTAACTAATCGACGTCTTTGATTTCTGGTATTTTGATTTCAATGTGTGTAGCAGTTCAGGAATAAAAATGTAATCTTTTCTTATACTATTTGTTTTTTGTGTGTTTTTTTTTGTTTTGTTTTTATTTTCATAATGATTGTCTTGATCTCTTTCTAGTTTGGATTTTGCCTCACCTATCCTTCCTACCAAAACTTGATTTTTGGAAAGTCTAGACACAAGAACTGTGCTTTTTAAAAATTCTCATAAAATGCAAAATCAATTTGAATATATTTTATAATACAAATCTTACAAACATTAATAAAAAGACGATAAAATATAAATTGATAAAAATAACAGTGGGATTCTTTCTCTCTAGTATGGATGAAGTATGTGTTATGTGCATGTATCTATATATGGATATACTATTTCTCCTAATGTGCTTACTATAATGATGAATTCCATTCATGATTAGAGAATCATGAGCTAAAAATAAAAATATACCCGAAAACATCGGTAAACATTGGTGAAACTCCACCTTAGGAAATAACCAATGCTTAAAGCTTACTTTGGAACAAGAAATATATAAATTATAGAATAATGAGAAAATTCAGAACTGCTAAGCACATCCCATTTTGATGATATTCTAAGTAGCCGTAAAAGAAAATGCAATTTTATTTACCTGCAAAGACCGGAGCCAGAAATCTCCATTTCAAAATGCTTATTTCTTTACAGTGTGGCTGAATGGCCGTGAACAATGCAAATCGGTTTTACTTTCTAAGTTTATTATACTTACACATATTTTGGTAAGTTGTCTACCCAGATCCTTTATTATACAATGAGGTAACCCCCCCCCCCCCCCAGTGAAACCCCAAGTATCTTCTTTTCTTGGTCATCGTATGCTGCTATTCTTCCCCTAGAAATTAATACACTCTGTATTCTGGCTCCTGTCTTTTCATCTCCTGCTGCAGAATCAGCGGTCATAACAGCTATTCTGTTCATGAATATGTAAATACAACATGCATAAAATAAAAAAATAGCGGGCGGTTCCCACTGCACACTATTCCCAACTCTGTTTAATACACAAAAAGCAAAGATTTAATTTTTCCACCATTTTGAGTCAGTGTTGTAAGGGATGCTATAATTATGTAACACGGAAATACATAAATGAGACATGCAGATGCTCATGATAGTTGGAATCCTAATAAATTGGCATCTATGCACGGCTATGGCAGTGCATACAGATTCACTTATTACTTCCCTCTGATGCCTGGTGATAAGGCGGAAATGCCTTAGGTCCTCAGTAATCTTTTATTTGCTGACTAGGTTCCACTTCCATACCTCACCCCAATATATGACTAAAACAATGTTTAGATTATGCATGTATACCTATAGGTATATTTGCATATACATACACACACAGATTTTTTTTTTTTTTCTTTTGAAGGGGAGAAATGATGACTACATCCGTTCTAGTATTCTGGCTGAAGCATTAAGCTCTGGGAAGAAAATAATTGGGGGATTTTATTATTGAAATAAGCAAGCATGTTCATGCATATTTTTACGGCATGCATGCCTATGCGCCACTCCGTGCAAACAGTGCTATTGCAGCTCGTGTGCGGTAATTAGGTTGATGTAATTACGGTGAAATAAAGGCAGTCTCACTGATAATTTCACAGTGAATATTAAAGACATATGTGCCTTCCAGTGTACAATAAATGAACCTGAACTGCTGTCAGGGGCTAGGAGGACAGTGTGGCCAATGCACCTATTGTGTCCCTGCTGCAGAAAGGAGCCTGCCGATTGGCCACTGTCTGCAGCACATAGCACTGGCTGGTTATAAAGGACTTGTCTAGGGGAGAGCCTGTAGGTACTCCATTGTCTGGTAAAGTTCATATGACTGCATTCTTTTTTGCAAGGGGGGTGGAGGGAGAGCGGGGAAGGAGGGGGTGTCAGCTCAACTGTAAAAGCTGCACAGATTTTTTTCTTTCTCTCTCTCTGCCTCTCCATAGATCGTTTCTGTTTCATGCCCTGTCTCATTTCGCATAGCTAAAAAATAATGCTAATTAAGATCCCTTGTCTTAACCTGAAAATAATGACTCGGATATAATTAGAAATCTGGCTAGAGTTTAAAATTCTGGTAAGGGACCAAAAACATCAGTTACGGTGCTTAGGAAGGAAATGAAGAATTATTTTTCTGTAATCAAGGTAAACATGGCAGAGGGGGGTTCCCCCCTATCTTTTTTTAACCAATTTTAACCAATGGTGTTCTACAGCAGATGAGAGGATACTGTATTTCGAAAACTATTTTAGCCATCAAATTGAAAGGACACAAATCAGTAGCAATAGAAGCCTTCTTAATCCTCCTTAGGATGCAATTCAGATGAAAGAACTGCTTTTTTTTTTTTTTTATTTTCTTTTTGTATGTGTGTGTTATAGATGGATCTGAGAACGCTGTCTGGGCTTGGTGCCAAGCGCTGGTATTTCACAGCAGCGACCGCCTCACAGACGAGCTGTGGGAAGCAGGAGGGAGACTCTCTCTTAGGGTGGAGACACAGCTGGGCTGAACAAGATTTGCTTCAAACGACAACAAGAGAGACAGAAAGTATCTGGTTCAACCGCTGCCCAAGCAGGCAGGCACCAGAAGAGCTAGCAGCCAATCCGGCCATGCTCGAAGCCAGCTCTGCAGCTCAGCCAATCAGTGACATCACTGGTGAGAAACTCATTTACATCATGCAGTAATGAACTTTGTTTAACATAGCCTCCCCTCTTTCCTGTTACCCCCCCTCCCCATATTAGGTCCTTCCATTAATTATTCTGGTGGCATAATTTAAACCTCTATGCAAAAATGTGGCTACATTCTCTCTGATAGCTTTTACCTTCCCCTCCCACCCCACCCACTGGTGTCTGCTGTCACTGAAAGTGATTCTGGGTACAATTCTGTTTTGTTTTGACCTTGCAAAATTATCGTCTCTTTCTTTAAAAAAAATCTTAGAAAGAAATTAAACCTTTGTTTATTTTATCTGACTGCACTTCCCCCTTACGAATAGCATGCTGTTTGCAAGTTGGGATTCAGAACTGTACGAGGTACTAGAAAATAAGGGAGTGCATTGCCATGGAACTTACCATTTTTCCAAGCAATCTGCATTTTAGCGCTTCCTTTAATGCTTTCAGATTTTGTGCCACAGTGGCCATTTTACATACAGTGTTTTATCCAAAAAGCACTTAAGTGCATCTGTCACATGGAGGAAAGTTCACTCTGGTTATATTTCATTCTTCACTGTGCTCAGCCAACATGTCATTTTATTAATGAATAGAACTGAGGTCATTTCTGGACAAATCTCTCTCTTCCCATCCCAGCACAATGCACCTGATTTGCATCCATTTACTAGAAAAACTGAATACAAGAACCAGCTTGAAAAGAAGTTAAGGGACCGGCTTCCATATCATTTTAGAATATGCCGCAGCATTTTGTTTTTTAGAATGCGTAATATTTAACATCTGCCTTGGTGTTTCTATAAAAATGCTTGATCTCCATTCCCAGTGTAGTATCTTTAGCTAATGTATTGATTTGTTATATAACTAAAATAGACCAAAGGTAGTAAGAGTCACAAATGAGTTCATTTGTAAGCAGAGAACCTCTGGAAACATAATTTTGTCTTGTCCGGTACATTATGTATTTGGTGTGTCAGGGTTAAACTTATTTGTTTTATAGATAAGTTAAAAGGGCTGGGACATGTGGCATGTGAAGATTTTCAGGTTGCTTTAGCGAATCCCAAAGAGCGGAAACTGGGTCACACTTAAATGTGATTTCTCTTGAGCCATGTCTTTATTGCATATTGGCATTAAAGGGATGCAGTTTTCTGGCAGAGGAGGTGACGTTGCATTGTCTTTTTTTAGAAAAGAGTATTTTGAATATAATTATTCGAAGACATGGAATTTTTAAAACATCGGCAAGGTTTCATAACGTCGCATGATTCGTTTAAGAAGCTTAAAGAGTACAATGATAGGCACAGACACTTTTTAAAGCATATGAAGGATTTAGGCGCTAAACCACAGCCCTTTTAATTCATGAGGCATTCCATCATCCCATCATCAGTATTCAGGGAGCGACTGTCCTGAATCAGTCATGAGCTCCCCTGCTGCAGATCCTGTAATTTGAATCATGTGTAATAATATATTATCCTACTGGGGGCCTTCTTTCAGTAGGAGAATGGTTTATACATTCTGCTATAAGAGAACTTTTGGCTCCTCTCCGCCTCACAGCCATTACTCACATAGGCAATCACGATCATCTTCCTTAAGGAATAACATCTGCACGACCTCCTGAGCCAAAAATCTGCAACCTCCCCCACATTCTGAATTACGATTTTCTTGGAACAGGGAACACTTGACAAGACTGAAGTAGAAAAATGGAAGGTTTAGAGGAATGGATCACAATTTTATTGAGCATGCTGTGTGGCAAAAGCCAAGCTCCCATTCCTTTGAAATGATGGAGGATTGGTGGGGAAAGGGGGCCCACGATAGACCTAGATGCGTTTGTTTGAGGTTTACACACAAGCTGAAATGTAATGTGTTCAAGGAAGACATGGCTCCCTCCGTGTTTTTCTCTGGACATTCTAGCAAGGTCCTGCAAAGGGTGTGGCAACACGGAGGGATAAATGGAGGGCGTCGAAGGTTGTGAAAACAGAGAACCCTTGCCTCAACTTGGGAAGAAGCAATGGGATATAGCAGGGGCCATCTGACCCAGGAGTTAAAGATTCAGGGACTGGGTGGCTTTGATTCTCTCTCATTCTGACTTTGATCCGTTCACATAATTTCTGTTTTTCTTTATCTGTAAAGATTAAATAGACTGCCAGCACAGAGATAGTCCCTGTGTGTGGAATACTCCCCCTTTCTTTTTTAAACATTTGAAATCCTTCTTTGCTTCAAGGGCCAGATTAAGTATTCCCTCTTCTGTGAAATCTTTTCAAATCACGGTGGCCAGAATCTCTCACTTTTCCATCATTCTCTTTGTGTCTTCGTTATTGTAAGTGTAGCAGTCAACGCTGTTGTAGGGCCACATGTGTGTATCTTTGCCACTAGACTGAAAGCCCCTTGGGGACAGAGACCACGTTGAATTCGCCCTCCACCCTCTTCTCTAAGAATAATGAATTATGCCCCTAAGTTTTAAATCAGTGATGTAATTAAGGAGCTAAAGGTTCATTGTAAGTTGTGGAAGGAGTGTTTACCAATTCCAAGGATGACTACTGCTGTTAACAACTATTGCCACCAGGTACCAGTTGATGTCCGTTTTGCCTTATCAGTTTTATGCCTTTCGTTTCATGGTCCTTGATAATACAGCTCAGAATAAATGGTTGCTGCATTATTTTTCTTAAATAACCAGTTGTAGGGAATTTAAATTTCCTATTTATCAGATGTGGAATTAAGTCAACTTGGTTTGGTGTTTTAAAACTAAAAAATAAGGGAAATTCATGTAAATTAATTGCAAAAGCAGCCATGATAAACAAATTATAGTATCAAGCTCTACTGTTAATGATATGGAAGAATTAATTACTTGGAAGAGGTAAGCAATTAATGCTGGGTGTTGAAGTGCTTTATAAAGCATGATTCATCGGGGAATATGGAATCCTAAGTCTTATTCTCTGAGTGTTATCATTGAGATATGTATTTTTAATCTGTAAACTGATACAACGGTCTTTTAAGAGTGTATTTCTAGATGTATCTGATATAATCTGATTATGCCAAAATATGATTTTGATTCTTATGCTACTCATTTAAGTTTATACTTTTGGCTACTATACTACTGCTAGGTAGAGATTAATTTCTTAGCAAACAATGATATTCTTATCAATATGTTTACAAGTCGTGCTTAGAATTTTAAAATCTTATTTCAAACTATTGGGCCAGTACATGCTATGAGAAGGGAATGAAGTAACCAGAGAATATATACCTCTTCACTTTTTATATTTGGGGAAGCAGAAATTTTAGCCCTGGAAATCAGCTAGTCTGAAGTCAAGGTTTTATAGAAGTCTTAGAGAGGAAAGGTATCTTGCCCAAGACTATGTTCTATCAGGTTCCTTGGAACAGCTGAAACTGGTATCCAGGATTCAGAATGACTGGTTCCCTATTCTTTCCTCTCCATCAAATAATCTGTACTTTTAATATCAGATAGGATTATACAATTTTATAGTGTTAACATAAATTGCATTCATTATAATTGACTGTGACTAGTAGTATTCCTATTCCTAGTTTATGGTTGAAAACAAGGGGACTGGAACTTAGGGAGGTGTATTTTTCCCACTACCCTATAAGAATGTGATCAGCTACTAATAAATCACCATTTATATTAGTATTCTTTAAAATATTTTTGGTTTTGATGAAAAAAATGGAAATCTCATATCTGGGTTCACTTTTCAGTAGCTTTGAATTCAATTAACATAAATATCATATCTTAAATTACAAGGCTACTACAGCCCTTAAAATAAAGGGCTAGTTTGTACCTTTTTTTATTGAGTTGTTATAACTGACTTTTTTTTTTTCTGTTGTCTTGCTAAAATGGTCAGGTATCTCAATAAGTGTATTTCCTTTCAGCCCAGTATTAAAAATAGAATTCTGGTGGCACCTGGATGGCTCAGTTGGTTAAACGACTTCACCTCAGGTCATGATCTCATGGTTTGTGAGTTTGAGACCTGCATCGGGTTCTCTGCTGTCAGCACAGAGCCTGCTTCAGATCCTCTGTCCCCTCTCCCTCTGCCCTTCTCCTGCTCATGCTCTCTCTCTCTCTCAAAAATAAACATTTTTTAAAATTTTAAAAAAGAAGAATTCAGAACCTCATAAACATAGGAGATGAATTGTGACCACTTGAGGAACAAATGATTCTCAAGACAGGAGAACTAATAGGAGTCTGTCCAACTTCTTCTGTTCAGACAATTATATTTAAGAGCTCAGAGAGTGACTGAGTAAATATGGATCACCTTAGTTAAAAATGTTACTTTGCATCATGGTTTAAGACATGGTAACTGAAGGCCATTTGCATCTGAATATTGCTTTCTTTTCTAAACTTATTAAAGTAGTGATAAGTAAGAAAAAAACTAATGGAAGTCTCCTCTATGTTGACAGGTTTTGTAGGATAATCATATGATTGTTATTTCAAAATGAACTCTTGAATCAGAAAAGCAGGAGTAAATATTGGGACCTTGCCCAATAAAACACTGAAGTCTGTGATTGAGAATCATTTATTTGTAAGATGGGAAAGAAACAGAGGAAACTGACCTAAAACGTTTTCATCTTCTAGCAATTCTTCCTACTTAAACCTTCAAATATGCTAAATATCATGAGCAATTATCAAATATAGTTAGGAGCTCAGTGAGTATTTTCATGAAATCGGTGATCATGTATCTTATTGTTACTGAACAGTGATCCTGCTCTGTAGCTGGTGGCTGGCACAAGAGGAGGAACAAAGTGATACGGACTAATGACTAACATCCACTGCGGATGAGTTATGTGTCATATGCTACACTAGGCACTATGCAGGCATTAGTTCATTTAATTCTCAAGCAGTTCTTTGGTATTATTATCTTCATTTTACAGATAAGAAAACTGGCTTTCAGAAAAGTTAAGCAACTTGTCAAAGTCACATGACTAAAAAGTGGCAAAACTGGGATTCAAAACAAAGATTCTGACTTGAGAACCCATATTCTTAAGCAATGT